CAAAAGCTACGAAAGGCAGGAGAAAAGCACTGGGCCAGCCCCGCTTAGCCAGGACAGCAAGCACGGGTGTCAGAAAATAGACCGGTGAGCCAGACTCAGCAAGGCGAAGCCCTCGGAAGGGAACGTGGGAGGAAGCCCACAGAGGGGAGAAGTTAGTTCTGGTTCTCACGCCTGGCAAGGACTTTCATCCACATGTGCAAATAGCTCTTCCAACTCAGTAAAAAATGCAAATAGTCTAATTGGAAAAGGGACAAAGGGTCTCCACAAACATTTCTTTGGCGCAGATCTGCAAATGGCCAGTAAGCACACAGAAGCTGCCCGGCTATGTGAGCCCTCAGGAAAGGCACGCCAGAGCCCCAGCAGGACCCCACCCCACAGCTCCAAGGAGGGCAAGAGCAAAACTTTCTAAATGGAAAATAACAAGAGCCGGCAAGGATATGAGGATACAGAGACCCACGCAGCTCCCGTGGAAACGCAAATGCCAGCGCCACTGAGGAAAACAGCAGCACAAGAGCCTCTCCCATGGTCACAGTCACCACATGACTCAGCAACCCACGCTGAGGTTTGTATTCAGGAGGACTGAAAGCAATGTCCCCAAAAGCTGCATGCTTTCCCCAGTGCAGCACTCTCCTAACAGCCAGAGGCGGAAACATCCAAACGTCCCCAGCCTGGGAGCAGAGAAGCAAATGTGGTTTCCCACACAGTGGAATATTACTCAGCCACAAAAAGGAATGGAGTCCTGAGTTTTGCTAGTGTGTGTGAACCTTGGGAAGGCGAGACACCAAAGACCACATACTTGCTGACTCCATTCACATGCGATGCCCCGAGTCAGCAGTCCAGGGACACAGGGGAGGAGAGGTTGCTGGGCCAGGGAGGAGGACATGGGGATGATGGCTCACAGGTATGGGGCATCTTGGGAGAGGACGGCTGTCCGACGTCAAGTGTGGGATGGTTGTGGAGCTGTGCCTGGGTCCACACTCTGTTGCACATGGCAGCACGTGACAGTGTTCTCGCGAAAGCTGATCTGAAAGCATGTGGCTGGGCGCCGGAGACCTAGGCCTGGGAGGGGGTGGGCAGAGCAGAGCAGAAGCAGCTCCTGCTGGGAGCCCGGATGGCGGTGGGGGAAGTCCCTGGGAGGCAGCCTGGGAACCTGCTGGAGGTGGGCTGGGGGGAGGCCAGGGATGGCTGGGGACCTCTTTGGAGACAGCTTGGGGTGCCTTTCCTCCTCGGGGTGTCTCAGAGCAGGCCATGAGGGCCAGGAGGCTGTGGGGTGGCCTGCTTCTTCACCTCCTGGTCACTGGTCCTCTGGCAGCAGCAGAGAGCATTTGGGAGAAGCCAGTGTAGTGGCACATGACTGTAACCCCAGAACTTGGGAAGCTGGGACAGGCTGATGGCTGTGAGTTCAAGGCCAACCTGAGCTACACATAAGACTCTGTCTCAAAAAGCCAGTCCATCAAGTAATCCAAAAGAAGAGGGAACTGAGGGCCGGAGAGCAGGGCAAGAGCCCTCCGGCTCTGGGCCAGAGTCACCCCAGAGCTGGCAGACAGGGACCCCAACTTGGGACCCAATGCACCTGGGTCCCTCCCCAGGCTCAGGTGTCATGCCCACCTGGGGTGCCACGGCTGGATCTCTGTGCCACCGTGTGCACCAGTGACAGGCATGGCATGGTCACATGTCCTCCCAGGGTGTGTGAAGACTCCAGCCCCATCGGTTTGTACCCGATGCACAGCAGAGGCTCAGCCAGGCGGCCTCTGGTTCCCAATCAGCCTGCTGGACTCAGCTCCCCACTCTTCCTTCACTGGCCTCAATTTCTCTGCTGTGAAATGGGTGTGGTGCACAGAGCAGAACCCCCCGGGGCTGGACCCAGCGCTCCCCAACCTCCGGAAGTCCCTACCTGGCCTCATGGTCCCCTGCACGCCACTCTTTGCCTCTCTCACACCGTGCCTTTCTCCCCTAAGAGTCATTCTTTTCCTGTCCTGCGAGATAGGAAGCAGGCCCAGGGCACCCTAGGGGCTGAGAGTTTGGGGACTGGCTTGCGTGTCTATGGCTCTTTTGGGGGTAGGGGACTGACTTGTCCTCTGAGCCCCCAGGACGGGGTGATGGGAAGGGACGGGCCCATCAGGAGATGCCCTGGCCTCCTGGTCCTGGTCCCCATGCAGCTGCCATCTGCCAGTTCTCAGACACCAACATTCCAGCCAGTGGTGAGCACCGCTACGTGGAGGCCCTGTGCCTGGTCAGCGTCATAGCCAGGGCCAAGGCCAGTGCCACACACTGGCCCCTGCTGGGACTGCAGGGAGTGCCCCCTGAAGGGCAGGGTCTGGGTCCTCAAATGGGACCAGCACCCAGGAGCACAGCCCGATGGCCGAGGACCCTGAGCGCCCGGATCAGGCCACGCCTGGAGTCCGCACACCTGGGCTGACTGACGGGCGGGCACAGCCAGAGCGGTTTTGCTCAAGATGGTTTGGCTTGGGCTGCCCGGCCCTTGGGGCTGAGACGCCGTCTCGGGGCCCTGTGGTACCCACGCGGCTGTCCTGATGGACCACCCCCACTCATCTGGCATGCTGTGTCCCTCTGGCCTGCTGCTGCGGGGCTCCCCGGGGCCCTGCTCAGTAGCGGCCTCCTTCTGCCTCAGTCTCCCTCCTCGGATCCCAGAGAGGGAGCTCAGAGACCTGGCGCCTGGCCCAGGTCCCACTGTCCCTGTGCAGAGCCAGCTGTGTGACCAGGGCATGTCTCCTGACTCTCTGTGCCCCGCTGCCTTACTGCCAAGGTAAGGACAAGCTCCAGCTGCCCTGCTTGTGTCACTGTGCCCATCGTGGGTGGGGCAGCGGGGCAGGAGCAGGGAGGGGTGTGGGAGGAGGGGCCCCACGCAGCAGGGGAGGCTGCGGAGCTAGCCCAGCCTCTGAGTCACCCGCTAACGTGGCTGGGAGTCTTATCGCAGGCGGGGCAGGGGCCAGGCATCAGCCAGGTCCCCAAAGGGATGTGAGCTGTGACTTCACCCAACGTGATCACGGGCAGGGTCTGGAGACCTGACAGGCAGGAGGAAAGGAGGCGTCCTGGCTACAGTGGCAGTGAGGGGCGGGAGCAGCAGGGGGCGCCAGCTGCAAGGGCTCTGGAGTTGGCAGCCTCTGAGCCAACAGTAGGGAAAGACAGGGAGCTGCGGGCAAATTGCGTGGCCTGTTCCTCAGGCCTCAGGGACTAGATGCCCCCTTGGCATAGCAGCCGCAGGGATCCGATGTGGCCCTGGGGCAGCACGGGCTGCAGCACAGCGGATGTGGGAGCCTGAGCCTATTCGCACTTTGGAAAGTCATAATGAATGGCCCTGCCCCACCTGGGAGGGCACCAGACACCTGCAGAGCCGGGGAGTGAAGGCTGCACTCACCTGCTAGCTGCAGGGCCGCACAAGAGGAAAAGAGCACTTCGGCCCTTCCTGAGTCTCTGTGTGTGCCCCAGAGCATCGCAGGCTGTGAGCACTGACCTCTAGGGCCAGTGTCCTCAGGGTGGTGAGTCCCCAGCATCCCTGCCCTGGGCCCCAGTCCCCACCAAACACACTCAGGGGAGGAACAGAGCCCTAGTCCACTCTGCAAAGACAGAGCCAGTGGCCCAGGCCAGGGCCAAGGTCACCCAGCCCAGGCTGGGTATGAGGTCCCCAACCCACAGCACTGTGGATCACTCCAAGCAAAACATCCTGATGCCTTCAGAGGCCTGGACTCCATCCCTGCATGCAGGGCTGGGTTAGGGGAGCCCTGCCCACTGCCCCAGCCCCTGGTGGCCCTACGCCCCATGCTCCTGTTCTCCCATCTTGGGTGCTTGGTGCTCATCTGGGGGCCCAGCACTCCCTCCTGCCAGACCCCAGACACTCCTACCTCACAGCCATGCTCGGCATACCTCCTCTGCAGAGCCCAGGCCTCCCTAGCCCTAACCCCACACCTGTCACCCCAGCTGCCCTCCTCCTTAACCCAAGTGTCTGCCACAGGCTCTAACTCCTCTCAGCAGCAAAGCAGGCCTGAGCCTGCTTGGGACACCGTCCCAAGGGAGGCAGAGTGCCCAGTCCCTCCTGCTCAGTGACAGTGGGCCTATCCACCCACAGCCTGTGCTGGAGCTGGCCATCCCTTCACACGCTGACCACCCTGGTTTCTTGAGTCCCCTGAGTCTTACAGATACCCTCACATCCGGGCCCCCTCTACACACCTGCTGTCTGTCTTGCGTCTTTAAGGCCTCCGGAGGTTTCTCTGCCTCTTGCCACGTGGGCCATGGCGCTGGTGCTTTTGCGTGGGGCCTCAGACCCAGGGCAGCTAGGCCACGAGCTGTGGTCACACTCCAGATTCCTCGCGCCCTCAGCTCACCTCCAAATGCTCCGCTCCCCTCTGCGCCCAGCAGCCTCATCAGGGCAGTCTGGAGTCCCTGGCACCAGGCTCAGCCCTGTTGTGGCCCTGGTCTGAGGCTGCCCGTGGTAAACGCAAGTGGAACCAAGAGAACAGACCAGCTTCCACTTCTGAGGGCTGCCTGGACCACCAGCCCTGAGGGTCAGGGCCAGGATCCAGCGCATGCTTCCAGCAACCCTGAGAGGTGGCACAAGCTGTGAAAGCCTCCTTATGGAAGGGGAAACTGAGGCAACTCCCAGCATCACTGATCCTAGAACCTCCACACGAGCCCGGTCTTCTTCAGCCTGGGACTCCCCAGGACACAAGGGTTGCCCAGTTGTGCAGGCCTTGCTAGGCTCCCCTGCTAGGCGGGAGCGAAGGAGGACATGAAGGATAGGGACAGGCTTGAGTACTATCTAGATTCCATTTGAAAGGCGAGCCTGAGGTGCCCCTATGGGTTCCTGCTGCGCACAGCCCACCCACAGGGCCCCCTCCAGGCTGCGCCACCCCCCCCTTGCCCCCCTCCCGAGCCTGGGGCGGGGCGTGGCTCAGCACCGGGGGCGGGGCGGGGCCGCCCCTTCCAGCCAGGCGTGGCCTTTAAAGGCGGTGGGGCCTGCCGCCCACAGACTAGCCTCGCAAGCAAGTGTCCGGTGCCCTCCCGCGCTATGGCTCTGCGCCTCTCCGGGCGCGCGCCTGCTTGAGCCCCGCGCCCTCCGCAGCCCGCAGTCCCCGAGTCCCCGCGTCGACGTCCTCACCATGCACGCGCGCGCCCTGCTCGTGGCCGCGCTGCTAGCGCTAGTGTGGGGCCGGGATCCCCCGGCGACGCCTTGCCCCGCGCGCTGCGACGTGTCGCGCTGCCCGAGCCCGCGCTGCCCCAGCGGCTACGTGCCCGACGCCTGTAGCTGCTGCCTGGTGTGCGCCGCCGGCGAGGGCGAGCCCTGCGGCCACACGCAGGACGCACCGTGCGGGGAGAGCTTGGAGTGCACGCGTGGCGTGTGCCGCTGCCGCTGGGCCAACCCAGTGTGTGGCACGGACGGCCGCACCCACGCCAGCGTATGTGCCCTGCAGGCCGCCAGCCGCCGAGCGCTGCAGCTGTCGGGGACGCCGGTGCGCGTGCTGCAGAAAGGCGCCTGCCCTTCGGGTAAGCACCCCCGGGGACAAGGGGCTGGGGACACTGGGACCCCTGGGGAGGACCCAGCCCCAGAGGTGCTCTGAAAACGTGCATCCAGCCCTCAGGTCCCTGGGTGCAGAAGTAAAGGCCCCGAAAGTAAATACTGACCCTCAGCCAGCACTCCTTGGCTCAGCCTCCTGCCAGCTCCCGGTGCCTGGTCCTCCCTCGGTCAGGGCAGGGCTAGAAGCTGGCTCTCTGGTGTCTCCTACACTGGCCGAGGCATGGTGTGTCCATGCTTCCCGCCGACGTGGTTTCCAGGGGGACTTTTGGGAGCAGCCAGTGGGGGCCCTAGAGAGAGGGGCTTTAGGGACAGGAGCCCTGGGGAGAGCCTGCTAGGCTCCAAGGGGAGAGGCCATGGGACAGAATCTAAGTCCCCAGAAAGCCTCGCTGGCCCATGGTGGCTGTTTCTGGCCATGAACAGGTCTCTGCATGAAGGACTCTGTGGGAGAAGTCCTCCATCCCTGTCCTTGTTTGAGGGGCTCCTTAGGCAGGGAGGGTCTTGGCCAAGGTCTGCACTAGGTCCCCGGTCAGGGCAACCTGTGATGTCCCCGGCACCAGCAACCCACAGCAATCAGACGGAGACCACGCAGCTATCTGGGGGCCACTGCAGGGCCCAGGAGCACCTTGGGGTGCTCTGACCACCTGGAGGGTGCTGTAGGGAAAGGCGTTCTGCAGCAGCAGGGGTCTTGGAGGCTTTGCTGTGCCGGGTAGCAGAGCCGGGGAGGCCAGGCTGGCCCAGGGATTTGGGGGACAGATTCTGAGGTGGGTCAGGCTCAGGATGGTGAGCAACTGCTCCATCCTGTGGGGCAGAGCCTCCCACTTATCTCCATGTCCAGTCCAGAGTGAGGTGAGGGGCCACAAGGCCAGGTGTGCTCAGGCCATGCCCAGGGACTGAGGCAGGACGGCAGGGTGCTGCTGGCTCAGGGGGTGGTACACTCCAGGCTGGCTCTGCCTGGGGCTTGGCACCATGTCCTCTGAGCAGCAGAAGACCCTCTGAGCGGGTGGGCTGGCCCTGGCCCTGAGGTGGCAGACACTATCACAACGGGGCTTGAGGGGCTGCAGGCGGGTAGTTATCAGAGTCCTTGTGCTTGACTGACAGAGCACGTGACCTAGGGACACACACAGGGTCTGATGAGCACAGACAGGTGCAAGAAGAGGGTCAGAAGGCACGCGGTCCGTGCACGAGCCCTGGGTGGGAGTCCTGGTGGAGCAAAGTCAGAGGCACAGGGTCCCCAGGGCACTTGGGCCACCGGAGCTCAAGGTGGGAGCAGCTCCCCTGAGCCGGCCTGTGGGTAGCCCTGGAAGGGCTCCGCGGTGCTGCGCTCTGCCCCAGGGTGCTAGTAACACGTGGACCATGGCTAGCTGGCCACTGTCTCCCACAGCGCAAGAACCTCATGCTGAGGCTGCCACAGGGCGGCAGCATCCTCCCTGCGACATGCTGGCCACTTCTCAGCTGGGGTGGCACACGGGGCTTGGCTGGCTTTGGAAGCTGTGCTCTATGGGGCCCTGGGCTGTCTTTAGGGTCCCCTGGACTCCGGTCAGACAGCCTATGCAACGTTCCCAGGCAGCCCGCAGGCACAGCAGAACTTGCTGGGTGACATCGCCCCCTGTGGTGTGTGAGGTTCTGCCATGTGTGGCATTGCTGTACCCCCTCCTAGACCAGCTCCCCCTGGTCCCCGATGTTCACAGGTCTGCCCTATCCCCTTCTCAATCTTGGGAGTGGCCTGGCACCAGGGACTTGGGAGCCTGCAGAGCCGTATTTCGGCAGGGCAACCCTAGTCCTCCCTGACCTCCCCGTCCTGCCTCCTCCGCCTCCTCCTTTCTCATCCAGCAGCCAGGGTGGCCCTGGCAACCTGACATGTGTGGTACTGCAGGACCCCTCCAGGGCTGCCCACACTGTCAAGGCACTGTACTGCCACCCAGGGCCATGTCGTGCCTCCAGCGTATCCTGGAGCCCCTCTGATCCCAGGGCCTTTGCACACACTGTGCCCACTGCCTGCATCCCTCCTTCTGCCCTGGTTGAGGTGCCCCACACCCTGGGCTGCCCTCCTTGCCACAGTGCCCAGGTTGGCCCTCAGCACCCCACTGTCAAGCTTGCACGATTCTCCCTTAGCCTGTCTCCTCTCTGCATCCTGTCTAGACATCGAGCCTCAGAGACTGAGGCTGAAGTCCCCATGTGTCCTCATGTTCACTCCAGGCATCCTGAACAGTGGGGTGGTTGTTGGGGTGGTCCGAAGTCTGCATGGGGAAGTCTCCCTCCTCCCCCAGCCCAAGCCTGCAGACTTGAGGCTTTGAGTGCTGGGTCCAGTGCCTGCAGCCGGTCAAGGTGGTGTGGTCCCATGGTGCCGCCCATGGTGATCTTTCAAGATCCTGGGCTTTGATGTCTGATCCCTGGAGCTGCTTCTCGGGCTGCACATGTCCTCAGACTCAGACTGAGTGGGTAGGGTGGTGACCAGTCCCCTGTGCCCTCTCTACCTGGGCAGCCACGGTGCCTGGCACACTCAAGGTCCAGGGCCACCTCTGCACGGAGCAGGTTGAGGTGGGCATCTGAGGATAGCACAGTGCTGGGCACGGGAGCCAGAGCCCAGCGAGGGAGGCACGAGGTCCTGGAGGACTCGCCTTGCAGCCGGCAGAAGCCCTAATCTGGGGTGTGAGGGCAGAGGATGGCAGGGAGAAGCCAGACCAGGACATCACCTTGAGGCAGGGCTGAGGAAAGCAGGGCAGCTTCCTGGTGGCAGCAGCTGGCAGCAGCCCCAGATAGGCTGGCAGCCAGGGCCCAGTAAGTGGGTTAGGAGCACAGGAGCTAGCAGGGAGGTGGGCCAGGTGTCTGGCGGCCACTCACAGATGGCTGTTATCCTGGGCCAGGGCACACTAGCCCTAAGCAAGGAGTAGCTGAGGGGTAACACGTGTCTCAGGACAGCTGGGGTGGTGGCCGTGAGTGTGGCGGGTAGGGTCGTGAGTTCCAGGGAGGGCAGGCTTGGGGACAGTACCCATGAGAGCGCTTCAGGAACACGTGGGTGTCTGGGGTGTCTGGGCCGGGACAGGGAGAGGGCTCTGGCTGTAACCACGAGGCCCAGGGCCTGGAAGACAGGGCCTCCTGCATGGTCTGATGAGGACACTGGGGAGGGCGGAGGCGTGCAGCAAGGTCCCCGAGCCCCATCCTTGCTGCGGCAGACACAGGCCACGCGTGCCATGTCCACCACGACCACGGGCCAGGGACCTGGCTGTTTCTCCCATCCCTGGTGAACCCCGTCCCCACTGCCCCACTGTGAGCATCAGCCCTTCTCCAACCCTCAGGCCAGGTCCTGCCCAAAGGTGGGAGGGCAGTGGCCTCTGTCTGATGCACGGGCCGCCCCTTTCATATCCCTCAGTCACGGGGTCACAGCTTCCAGTGCTGAGATCTCATGAATTCTTGCCACAGTTAAGGCCCAAAGGGTCGGGGGCCCCAGCCAGGGCTCACAGCCAGGCCCTCCACCCAGACCAGGGCGCCGCCCACCGCACACTGGGCCTCGCCTGGCCTCTGGGAGCAGGCCTCGGCCTGGCATAGGTTTGGGACCAGCCTGGCTTCATCTTGAATTCCTGCTCCCACCCCACAGGGTAGGTGGCGGCAGGCCCCAGGCTGGCCAGGCCGCATAAGGAGCTGCCCAGCCCCCTTCTCCAGGAAGCCCTCCCATGGAACATGCAGCCAGGGACCCTGGGGTCCCAGGGCAGCTGTGGGTGTCCTGGGCCAGCGCTGCTGCCCCCCAGGCACCCTCCAGGCTCTGAGCCTGCATGCGTCGGTCCCATTAGAGCTCAGGCCACACACAGCACTTGGAAATCATCACCTCCTCCACGTCCCGGGACCTGTGAGCCAGGCCCCACTGCTGCACGTGTTGCTGACGAGGAACCGAGCGCAAAGCCCCTGGGCGACCTGTGAGGCCTCAGCCGGGGGGGGGGGGGGGGTGGGCCTGCACCCGAGTACCCGACAGGGAGCAGGGCTGCCGCTCGGCCCTGTGCTACGCTGATGCACACAGCTCTACAGGCTGGGCACCGCACAGCTCCGGGCGGGCCGTGCTGCTGTCTGTTGGGCAGTGCACAACCTCAGCAGCTGTCCACGGCAGCTCTGCAGTGTTCCCGCTTGGGCCTCGGTTTCCCCATCTGTTCCATGACTTGGTTTGGGGCTGGAGACCGGACTTCTCCAGTCCGCCCTGTTGCACCCCTCCCTCTCCCAAGAGACACCGCCAGACACCTGGCCTCGTTCTGCTCTGTGTCAAGTTCTCCAGTCCTTGGACCAAACCGCCAGAGCCTTTGGGTTATACTTCACTTTGTTTTTGAAAAAAAATAGGAATCACAACAGCTGACTCTGTGGACTTAGAGCCTTGGCCCCTCGCTGCGGAGGCGGGGTTCTCCAAACCCCAAATAAACATGGTCTGCTTCCCAGCCCTGGGCCCGCCCTGACTCACCACTGACTCATCCGTGTGGGGCGACTTAAAGGGCCAGGCCTGGCAGGGCCTGCGGGGCCCTAAGCCTCCCTGTCCCTTGACCCAGGCCACGGCTAGGCCTACTGTCCCCGAAAGGGTGCTGGCTTCCCTGCCTCGGTTTCCCTGGCTGTAAAATGGGCCTCTCAGTCGACTGGAACTTTAGGATCGGATCCCTTGGTACGTGATCTGTGGCCCTACCCTGTGCAGAGCTGGCTAGAGCCCAGCACAGCCCCGCCTGCCTGGTACTGCTGGGGCTGGGGGAGGCTGTGCCTGTCTCCAGGGAGCAGCGCCTGGCGGTGCCCCTGCAGGAGGGTCCAGCTTTGCCACAGCCCCCCTCTCAGCTCTGTCTGTAAGTGACTGACCCACAGCAGAATCTCAGGAGTCCGTGACAAAAAGAAAACCGCCCTGCCTGACCCCTCCATCCCTGGGTGCCCCTCTGTGTCCTGCTAGAAGTTTTCCAGAGGTCACTGAGTACGGAGCAAGAGGAGTCGGGTCCCCCAAACCCCAGCAGACCAGGTGGTCCCAGGGCCTGCTGTGGGCTGCCAGGTCTCCTGGGGCCGGGTGGGCTGGACAGAGGTGTCCTCCCTTGAAGTCACGCACGAAGCAGCTGGTCCTGCTCAGCACTGTGGGAGGGGGCATCTTTCTCCGCCTTCTGTCATAGTCACTGTGGCATCCACAGTGGCCTTTGGCCAGACTTGGGGCCTGCAGTGTCCTCCAGGCCCGGTCCACATCTCCAGATTCCCACTTTACTCCTGGCTTCCCTCTCCCCTCCCAGACAAGCTTTGTGGGTCCTGGTGGTCACTCGCCTGTCCCTCACCACGGCAGTCCTGTGTCCGTGCAGAAGGTGATTGGAGGTCCCGCATGGGGAGGCCGGGCCCGGCCCCGCCTCTTGGTGGAGGAGCAGGGTAGCCACAGTGGTGTGGTGGAGGCCACCCCGGGAAGGTCACACCTCTGGACACCTGTCCTCTGGTGACACTCTGGAGTCTCTGACTCCTGTTTTGGCACAGCTTGTGGAATGAGTGGGACCAAGTTCTGGGTCCTTCAACCCTCTGGGGGGCAAGGACTGTTGGTGTGGGCATCTGGGGGCAGAGCCCCGCTGGCAGCAGAGGTGACTTCCTCCTTCCCACCAGGGCCCTCGGGGAGCCTGGGCCTCAAGACTCTTTTCATCTTGACATAGTCTGGGGACCCAGAACCTGCTCTGCAATATGGGAGGCAGAGAAGTTGGGGCGCAGGGAGCCCTGAGCACAGGATGGCCGCCCCTGGGGCCCCTAGACCTTGTGAGGAGGTTTCCTTCCCATTGAGGCCCCTGGTATATGCCACCAACATGGACACTAGGTGCCAGTGCCCGCCAACCCCACAGCCACCCAGCTGGCAGCTTTTGCTTCAGGCTGACAGTGCCGAGTCTGGTGCAGAGGTGGACCTTGCAGCTTCCCCTGTGTGGCAGCTTCCGTCTGCAAGTCATGTGGGCGCCCATTGCTACAGCCCCAGAAGGGCACCCAGGACAGTTTGCCAGAGGTGGTCAAAACCCAGAGAGGGTAGACACTTGCCAGGGGTGTGGAATACAATGTGTGCTCTCCCAGGCCCAAGCAGAACACAACCCAGATGGCAGCCCTGCACTCTGGGCATGGCCTTGCTGGGCACCCATGCTGTGGGGTGGGGCTGAGGCTGGGAGGAGGGACGTGGGGACCTGGCCACACCAGCCTGGAGGGGCTGCGCTGTGGCGGGGGACAGGAAGGCTCCCACTGGGCCCTCACGATCCCCACATCCACCGTGGTGCTCACTGCCTCTGCCAGAGCAGCGAGAGGGCATTGTTGTCCCATGAGAGTGGGCAGAGGTCTGATGACCCTACCCCGGTGCCCTGGGGTCTGCTGTGTGGCCCGGGGCTTGAGTCTTGACCTCTCCTGAGTGTCCAACAGGGCCATAGGACCGGGCCCACTGTGGTGTTTGGGTCCCTGGGGCGTAGCCCCTCACACGCCTCGTTCTTCTGGCCAGTGCAGGTCTCCACCAGGTGAGCAGCCCACGGTACAAGTTCAACTTTATCGCTGACGTGGTGGAGAAGATTGCACCTGCAGTGGTCCACATCGAGCTCTTCCTCAGGTGCGTGGCCCTGTCCCCCCACAAGGCCCCTGCAGGTCCTCGGGGCACCTGGTCCCACCTCCCCATACCCACACCCAGGCTTATCTGAGCCGAACACAGGGGCCCTCAGGCCTCATGGCTCCTGGGAGGCCTGGTCTCTTCCCACCTTGACCGAGACCCCAGATGTGTGGACAGGAAGCATGAGCTGCTCTTGATCCGACCTCCCCAGCCACTGTCCCTACCCCGGGGCCCTGGGTGTGCAGCAGGCGGCAGACAGGAGGGAGCCCACTGCTCTGATTGGGATCAGGAGCCCGACTGCCTGGCTCCTTTGCCTGACCCCAAGAGGATGCTGGGTCCAGCTCAGGGCTTCCTTGTTCCTGGCTATCTCCACTCCTCGTGGAGACAGAGCCGGTGGCCCCTGCTGCAGCCCAGGGGCGCCCACTACAGAGAGGGGAGGCAGATTTACCGGGAATCACCCCCTCAGGTTCCAGGGCCCCTCCTGTTTCTTGGATCATGGCCACATCTCCCATGAGCCCCTGGAGGCTGCTGTGTGGTCCCCACTTCCTGGAGGTGGAAGTTCTGAAGACACCCAGGCCCCCCCAGGGCCTAAAGGGGTGTATGGGGCCCTCTGACCCCAGAGCCAAATGCACCCCTCCACCCTGGCGATCTCTCCCTGCCTTCTCTCAGGCCCCAATCCTCCAAGATGTGTCACTGAAGAAATTACAGCTGGCTGCTAAGTGCCACATCCCTAGCCTTTGGGTAGCTGGGTAGCCTCAGCCTCTCCCTGGGATACCAGCCCTGAGCCAGCTGATCACCGTGCCTAGCCCGTGGCAATGTCACCTCTCAGCCTAGAGATGACAATCTAAGCCAGCCCAGCACAGGAGCCTCCAGCCGTGACCCTGACCCAGGCATGGCTGTGGAGGCCACAGGGCCCCTTGGCCCACTCATGCCGGGCACAGCAGACACTGAAGGCCCCTGGGACCAAGAATGCCCACTCAGGATGGATCTGGGGGTCATGCAGAGCGGCTGATAGTGATGCCCTGCCTGCAGAGCCCTGTTCTGCCCTGTGCCTGCCTGCCTGCCTGCCCGGGCAATGGGTCAGTGTCTCTGGGCCTCCGTTTCCCCTCCTTTAGAGGGGATGGAGATGGAGACTGTGTAGTTCTCAGGGCCTCAGCCATAGAATTGCACCGCCTCCCAGTTCTCGGGGCTGGAGGCCAAAGCCAGGGTGCTGGAACAGCCCCAGGGGTCAGAGGCCAGTGCGCTCCAGGCCCCTACCTCCTGGTGGTGCCTGCTGATCCCGATCCTCGGGGCTCCCTGGCCTGTTGCTGCGCCATCCCCCCCCCCCCGTCTTCCAGGGTGTGCACCCTATGTCTGTGTCTGATCCTCCCTGAGGGGAGGATGCTGCCCCTGGGTGTGGGGCCCAGCACAGCCCCATGGTAGCTTCTTCAGTGACCCCACTCCTAGATGAGCTCCATGCAGGGCTCAGGACTGGGCCTCAGGCTTTGTTTCGGGGACACAGCCAGGCCCCCATTCCTGCACCTGGGAAACTCATGCTGGTCCAGAGGGAGAGCTCAAGGTGCCAGCTGCTGGCCCTGGCCCTGCCAGGCCAGGTGACAACTTGTACTTTGCAGAGACCGACCTGTCCTGCCCCGTGCCAGATGCTCTGCCCCTAAGGGTTTCCTCTTCGCACACTGCAGGCTTCTGGGTCCCTTTCTCCGCTCATCTCTGCTTAGCAGCCTCACCAGGCCCTGGGCTGGCCTGGCCCAGAAGTCAAATACTGGCTCACCCGTTGGGCTTCCCCATGTCAGTGCCTGCTGTGGGTCAACACAGACTGGCCGCAGCACATCGCAGCAATGCCCATCACCTGGTTACAGCCGGAAGTGGTGCACAGCCGTGGGGCAAGACACCAAGCATGTGTGCCCCTCAGCCTCCTGCATGCCCCCAACTCCGAGGCCCTGCTCTGAGTGACCCCCTGCCCGCCTCCCACAGACACCCCCTGTTTGGCCGCAACGTTCCCCAGACTAGCGGCTCTGGCTTCATCATGTCGGAGGCCGGCTTGATCGTCACCAACGCGCATGTGGTGTCCAGCAACAAGGCCGTCTCGGGTCGGCAGCAGCTCAAGGTGCAGCTGCAGAACGGCGACTCCTACGAGGCCACCATCAAACACATCGACAAGAAGTCGGACATCGCCACCATCCAGATCCACCCCAAGGTGAGCGGCGAGGCTGGACCCCGGCAGGCGACGTGGGTGTGAGCTGGGGCACTGGCCACACGGGCATTTGTTTAGCTGGAACCCAGGCCTCGTGAACACCTGCATGCCCTCCCCCCGCAGAAGAAGCTCCCGGTGCTGCTGCTCGGCAACTCAGCAGACCTGCGGCCCGGCGAGTTCGTGGTGGCCATCGGCAGCCCCTTCGCCCTGCAGAACACGGTCACCACGGGAATCATCAGCAGTGCCCAGCGGGACGGGAAGCAGCTGGGCCTTCGGGACTCGGACATGGATTACATCCAGACAGATGCCATCATCAATGTGAGTCCCCTGCTGGCCACGCCCCAAGCCTCACGGTGGCTTTGTGCCCAGAACCTGCCCATCACTGAAAACGTCCGCTGGCCGGAAAGGTCTTCCCACACAGCTCGCGTCTCCCTGGTCAGGGTTCTGTCCCTGTCGGAGCCCTCACAGGGCTCAGCCTGGATACCTGGTGCATGACCTCTGTGTCTGCAGCAACTCACTGCTCCGATCTGCATGTGTCCGGCGGGCACTGCCCAGTAGCAAAGGTGTCCAAGCATGTGGACACACATGGCCACATGGCCCATGTAGCTCAGGCCCCAGCCTCATGCTATGCCCTGGACTCTGCTTTTCTTGCTGTGGTGGGGGACTCGGCCCCTCTTGTCCCTGGCTGAGATGGAGCTGCGGACCAGGGCACCGCTGACACTCCATTTTCTGTTTGCAGTACGGGAACTCTGGAGGACCCCTGGTGAACCTGGTGAGTGTCCTCACTGGTCACATGGGTACAACCTCAAAGAGGGGACAGGACCCCCAGTATGGCCCTAAAGGCTGCAGGCTCAGCATCTGGGGCTGTAGGGGGCTTGTCCAGCCTGGGCTCCTCGGTGCACTGGTGCTGTCAGGAATGAGGGCTCTGTGAGGAGTGCGCTCAGCCGGAGCCTGCAGTGCAGTGGACCAGGGAGGACCAGTCCAGGCTGCTGTGCTGTGGCTGCCCTGCACAGACTAGAGGGCGTCCTCACTCTGTTCACTTCCTTAGTCACTGTCCCCCATTCTGGCCCCAAAGTCCAGCTCCTCACCCAGGTGAGATTTTCCCCAAATAAAGCAGGAAGTTCAGTTAGGGAACAACCTTGCCTCAGGAAAGATTGTCCTAGAAGGGGACATACCCAAGAGCCACATGGGCAGCGTGAGATGGTTCTAGAAGGACCCTGGAGGTGGAGGCTGCTATGGGCAGGGAAAGCTTCCCAGAGGCAGAGGCTCTCAGCAGGCATGCAAGGGGGATGGGGAATGGGGCGCTGGGGAGGGCGCAGAGCACCAGGGGCTACCAAGGGGCTGGAAGCCACCATCACTGCAGCAGCCAGGCTGGGAGTCAGGGGTGGCTGGTGGCTGTGTCCAGATGGGCCTGGGGCCACCCGTGCAGGGCAAGGCTTCATCCTACGCCCAGGAAGCCAGGACCGGGAGCCACTGTGTGTCACCCAGGCAGTGGGGATGGGGAATAGGCAGAGGCTGGGCCCAGAGCTGCTGGCCTGGCTTCCTACCTCAAGAGCCTTGGGGCCCAGGAGGACACCGGAGCCCCTCCAAGGCTCCCCTAGGCTGTGAGCCCCTGCTGGGGCCAGGGTGCAGGTCAGGGTGCACACCAGGCCGGGAGGGGCTCCTTCCCGAGTGAGCTCAGGGATGGGCAGCACCAGCCTTGTGTAGGGCTGTGATGGGCAGGGTGGGCATGGGCACTGTAGGGCTGCCCTGACCTATTTCCCAGCTCCAGGAGGACGGGTGCCTGCCATCCCCTCCCTCCTAGCCAGCAGCTGGCTCCAGTGTGGACTGTTTCTTTGAGGCAGGGTACCAGGGTGGGGCTGAGATGGAGACTTGAACACCCCAGAAACTGCCTCCAGGGAAAGCAAGGAGTCCCTGGGGCCTGGGGTAGCAGGAAGGGTAGGGCTCACTGAGCAGCTGTGACCCTAAGAGTACCTACCCCTTTCAGGACAACAGGGGCTGCCCCAGGGGTGTCTCAGTAAGTGTCAGGGCGTCCTTGGGTGTGGGCATGGGAAGGGGACCACGGACTGCATGCCTTGGGGGCCCCTAGTGACCATCCCCCCATGCTCTGCCAAGGACGGTGAGGTTATCGGCATCAACACCCTCAAGGTCACAGCCGGCATCTCCTTCGCCATCCCCTCAGACCGCATCACACGCTTCCTGTCTGAGTTCCAGGACAAGCACATCAAAGGTAGGAGCTCCCTTGGGGCAGCAAGGCAGGCGATGCTGGATGAGGCCCTTCTGCCTCCAAGGCCTGTGGCCAGGTGCTGTGGGCGCATGCTCGCCCACCGTCCAGATGGCGCCCTGCAGCCAAGGGCTCTCATCACTGCTCCCCCAACCCCAGCTCGGACTCCAGGGCTCCTCCTGTCGGGTCTGTTCCTTGGTAGTCAGCACCTGGAGCTTCCTTCCTGCTCCCACCCCATCGTCCCCCATCCACCCACCCAACGCCCACCCTCCACAGCCTACCTCTGACTGTTCATCCATCCACCCGCCCCACCGAACTATCTATCTATCACGTGTGACACCCTCACACACGTCCACACATCATCCATGTATCTGCCCATCCACCCACTCGCCTGTCCATTTGTCTGTCCATCTGCCTGCCTACTTGCCTTTCCCATTTACCTTCCCTCCTTTCCTCTCTCTTTCCTTCCACTCACCCCTGCCAGCATCCCTTTTATCAGCCTGCTGCCCACGTAGCCCTAGAAGGGCATCCCCTGGGCCAAGGTGCCCCCTCCACTCCAGGGGAGCAGAGCCAGCCTCTGATCCTCGGAAGCCACCTGCTACTGGCTTCCGCCTGCTCGCCCCACCCTCACAGGGTGCTGGTGCACCCTGCCTGCTCACATGTGACTCCAGGATCCCCCCCCCCTTGCCAGATCCCCAATGTCCATCTCAGGGAGTCCGTGGACACTTCTGACCGTCGCCTTCCCTGGGGGCCCTCCCCCCATACAGCCCCAGGGCTCCCCACTCTGGCTGTTTTCTGGGTCATGCCCAGGCCAGCCCCCAGGCCCGCACCTTCACACACCCCCTTGCTTCCTCCAGCCCTCTCACCGGCACTGCACTGACCAAGGGGCCTCCTGGAGCCCGCCCCTCCTGCACCACACACCACCAAGTACCCGGAGCCTCGGGCAGCGAGAGCGGTGCTATGAGGACCCGTGCCAGGAAGAGCTGCCCTGGAGGACCCCGAGGCCTGGGCTGAAGGCAGTCTGGAGCGGGGCAGCCCCTGACCTTCCTGAGAAGCTGCTGGCTCCTCCTCTCGGCCAGTGGGACTGTCTTGACTGCAAGCCCTTTTCCTCTTGGCTGCAAGGAAGCTAGTTTCTAGGCCCAGGCTGCACCTTGTTTCCATTCTCTGAGGACTCAGCCTTAGCCTCAGCCCCCTGGGTGCCAGAACTGCTGGGGCTGCCGGGCGGGGTGACCTTTGCATAGAAGTGGGGTGCTGGCCTCCTTCCTTTCTCTCCTCTTTCTTCTCTTCTCAGACAAGAGCCCCGGGGTCCTGGGTTGGTCCTGTGCTGTTGAGGGACTGTCCCTGTCCCTGTGACCTCATCCTGGCTCCCTCCCAGAGCCGTGTCCCTCTGCAGGACCAGCAGGGACAGCCAGAGTCTGGGGGTCTTAGCTGGTAACAGCTCTTGAGATTTCAAGTCCCTGTCAAAGCTGGGTTTGGTTTTGCTTTTACTTCTTCTTCTTCTTCTTCTTCTTCTTCTTCTTCTTCTTCTTCTTCTTCTTCTTCTTCTTCTTCTTCTTCTTCTTCTTCTTCTTCTTTTTAATAAAAACATCAAATGATCCAAGCCCAGCTAATCCACAGTTCTCTAAAAGGAACAACCCCTTCAGGGAGCCCAGGAGACACAAAGGACACCTCCTGCCCCTTCGAGAAGGCCTGCTTCCTCCCAACTGGGGCACTTGAGCTTGTGTGTCTGATGTAGTGCGCACAAGGGGTCCCGTTCCTACACGCGCTCAAGCTCACCCTTCTCTGTGGCAGAGTAAGGCTCCGCGGCGCGTGGACACTGCAGCATCCCTGTCCTCTGAGCCGAGGGTGGGTGGCCAGGCCGCTTCCCAGCTGGGGCCTCTGTGACCTGCGCTGCCACAGATATGACGCTCGGGTGCTCTCGGCCTCCCTGCTGCCCCGCTTCAAGGGCAGGGGCCATGGTCCTGCCTCCCACTGCCAGCCACAGGCAGTGCCCACAGTGGGGGGCTAGAGGCTCGGGCACTGCCACTCCCATGGGAGCGGGGATCCCCGAAGCACCCACCGAGAGGGGTGTGTGCTGGGCGCAGAGGTCGGGAGGGTTTAGAGAAGTCCTGGTGCAGGGCCCCACAGAGGCGCTTGGAACACAGGCTTGGCGTGTTACGGAAAGGCCATGCGTATGGGGGTGGAGGGGCTGAGGGCTGGGGCAGGGCAGCCCACACCAGGGGTTGGGGGGCTTGGCTCAGCCGTCCTCAGGCTCTACAACAAGCTGGGGGCCGTCACTGTCATTACTTCCCCGCCACTCTGGTTCCCAAATGCTCCCAGGTCACCAGGCCTTTTAATTCATCCCTTCCCCTGCCTCCTGTCACTAGGTCGGTTTTTGTTCCCGGTACTGAGGCTTAAGCCAGGTGCCCTCACCCTGAGCTACTTCCTGGACCCTGTTTATTTTTGAGGCAGGGTCTCCTTGAACTGTCCGGGGTGGGTCCAATTTGGGATCCTTCTGCCTCGGCCTCCCTGGGTGCTAGGATTAGAGCTGTACATTGTCACAACCAGCTCTGTTGCTCTCTGATCACTGTTGGTGAAACTTGTTTCCCATTGACATGGTGAGTCTTGGGGGTCCAAAGCAGATGCAGCCTTAGAGAGGGAAATGAAGTCAAGGCCCCTCCCACCCTACCTCCTTCCCAGCTCAGTGAGCTGAACACTCCTGGGCTCCAGGATTCGAAGGGAGAAAGAAGCCTGGGTTGCGAAGCCGCCTGCCATAGGCAGTGTCGGCCTACCCAGGACGTCCCTGGCCACAGAGGTGGCCCCAGGATATACTTCTTTAGGGAAGGTGCCCATCGCCCAGGGAACTGCCCTGCTAGCCACAAGCACAGGAACTGCAGCCCGGGCTGGCCAGGCTGACCAGACCCCAGGGCCCGGGCAGGGGCAGCCTGGACGGCCTGCCCACTGCCTCTTGCCTTCTGGTGATTCCCCACATGCCATCCCGTGTGCCCTTTGTCTCCTTTCCTGAAGTCTCTGCTTAGGTGTTTTGTCCTTAAAACATTTGAGTCTGCTTGTGTTCTTATCAGCAAGTTGTAGGACTTTCCAGATAGAAATCTTCAGAAGACAAGGGGACCGCAAATGCTTTCTGACCTGGGTCTTGTCTGTCCCAGAACTCTGGGAGACTGAGGCGGGAGGATTCCAAGTTGGAGCCCAGACTGGGCAACCTGGGACTCAGCAAGACCATGTGGCTAAGTAAAACCTTGATGAAAGGGCCGGGGACAAACTGTGAAACCCCTGGCTTCTATCCTCGGCACCCGACGGGCACTTTAAAAAAAAAAAAAAAAAAAAAAAGTAAGTTTTGTGAAAGCGTTTTTTTCTTTTTTTTTCCTTGCGGTGCTGGGTGCGAACCCCAGGCCCTGGTGTAAGCTAGTCAAGCGAGTTCCCTCTGAGCCACAGCCCAGCCCGGGGATTCCTGGACGCTTGTGAAGTCTAGGTTTTGGTGACAGGCCCTGTGCTACAGTTGTGTCTCAGCGACCTTTGCAGACCCACGGTCAGGAAGGCCTTCTCCTGGAAGCTCTGCTCTTGGGGCCCGGGCCCGGGCCCGCGATGCCCCTGCGGTGCGGCAGCTTGTGCTGCGTGTGTGCCCACAGACCCTGCTGTGCCAGTGAGCCGGTGGCGCAGACACCCCTCCCCCACTGCCTTCGCAGCTTTCTCAGAAGGCGGGGACTGCGCTGTTCTTCTGTCTCTCTGTCTCTGAGCCATTTCCACGGCCTCAGCTGCTGCAGCACGTGAGAGTCTTTACATTTCATTTTGTTTTTTGAGACAGGCTCTCCCCAGGCAGTCCAGGTTGGCCTTGGACTCACTGCATAGTGTAGGCTGGCCTTAGGTTCAGGATGATCCTCCTGCCTCAGCCTCCTTGAACACTGGCATTGCAGGTGTGGCCACCCCGCCCTACTCATAGTTGGTACTCTACGATCACTGTGTGCGGGTCACACGCTGCTCTGCACACGTGGCAGCTTGCTGATTCTAGTAGCCTTGTGGGTTCGCCTTAGGTAGTCCCTCTTCAATGCTAATCAGATCAGCTTTTTAAAAAATCTTGCCTGGCTGGAACTTCTAGAAAATGTGAAGTGCAAGTGGTGAAAGAGACATCTTTGTCTGGTCACTGAGTTTAGGGAGAAAAGAATCAATTCCTCCCCTTGAGGCACCACGTTAGGGCCACTGCGGGGGGCGTAGTCTGAGACAGGTCTCCTCATGTAGCTTAGGCAGGTGCTGAACTCACTATGTAGTTCGAACTCAAGGTCATCCTGCCTCCGCCTCCCAAGTGCAGGGATCACAGGTGTGTGTCACCACGCCCAGCCACCACGCCCAGCCACCATGCCCAGCCACCACGGTAGGTTTCGGTAGACGCCCCATACCCAGGGTCATGCTTCCTGGGTATCACAGCCCCCTAGGGCAGCTGAGGGTGCGCCCACTGTCTTGCTTTGGCTGGGAGCAGAGGTGAGCTCCCGTCTGAGGTCCCTGCGTGCACATGCTGATCAAAAGCTGGTGCGCGGGGCTGGGGAGATGGCTCAGTGGAATAAGCGCTTCCCTGGCAAGCACAAGGATCTGAGTTCAATCCCCAGTTCCACCAAAAAAAAAAAAAAAAGCTGGTGCGCTGGCCTGGCTGGGTTTTGAACCCTGAACCCCTTTGCACTCGTGGGGTAACTCTCACCTGGTCATGATGCACCTGTTCTTTTTCACATTTGTTGGGCTTGATTTGCTGAAAGTGTTTAAGACGTTTCTGTCTGTCTTCCCGATGGATATAGGGATGGTGTCCTCCTGTGGTGGGGATGGGGGGTTGGAGGCTGAGTGAGCAGTCTGCCTGTCCCTCTCCCCTGTCCCCAAGGGAGTCTGGAGGCCCCACGCCACCTCTTCCCAAATTAGCTGTTCCAGCTCCAGTGACATAGGCGTAGGGTGGCCTGACCCTGGGAAGATTTCAGGCCCGGATTTGACGTCTTTGGCAGAACTAGAGCAGTGAAGACCCCGTCAGTGTGACCGTGTCATTGGGGTCCCAGGCACCCGCCAAGGCCTGCGGTGAGGTGGGGGCCACACCATGGTAGCAGTGTCACCCTGGCATGGTAGCACCTGTGGGGAAGGCTCTGCGATGACTGTTCTGAGCAGATGACGTCTGGGGAGCAGCAGTGGAGGGGGCGCCCTGCCCGCTGGGGGTGCAGGCTCCGGGGTGGAAGTTTGCAGGGAAGAGAGCTCCTGAGAGCAGAGCTGGGCAGGGCCCGGACAGCCCTAGCGCGGGACGCCTCCCGCTGCCCCTGGCCCTGCGGGGCAGTGTCCATCTCCCCGGTGCCCCGGGGAGGGCAGGGCCCTTCATGGCAGCCTTGACTTAGCAGTGCCGTCTCCTTCCAGACTGGAAGAAGCGCTTCATTGGCATCCGCATGCGGACCATCACGCCCAGGTGAGCCACGGCACGCCTCCGTCTGGGCCCGTGTGGCCTGCCTCTGTCGTGCCCACTATGCCCAATCTGTGCCGGGCTGGCCCTCTGCCCATACACGGGGGCTGTTTTGCTTGGGGGATCCCTCCTGCTGCTGCTCCAGCGCCCCTCCTGAACCCACGTCCTGGGCCACCACGATGCAGCGCCACAGCTTGGTGGTTCTGAAACCCAAAGCACAGTTGTCTTTCATAGTTGTGCGGCCACAAGCGAGACCAGGGTATCCGCAGGCCGAGCTGCTGCCTCCTGCGCTGCGGTCCCCGAGCGTCCTCTGCCTATAGTCTCATCACTCTGGTCCCTGCTTCCGCCTCCACGTGGCCACGTCCTCTGTGTCTACGTTACAATCTCCCTCTTGTTCCTCTCACAAAGCACCGCTCCCTGGCTTCAGAGCCACGCTGACTCCAGCATGATTCCGTCCCCACGTCCTTAACTCATTACGCCTGCCAGGGTCCCATTCTGAGCAGGGTGGTGCACTGGGCTTCCGCGTGTGCAGGAATTGGGAGGGACACCACCACTCTGCCCACTGGGGGTCTCGGGTGAAGGAGTGCCCCTGTTTGCACAACCCCAGTCCCACCCTGTGGGAATGGGCTGTCAGGGGATTCCCCTGCCCCATCTCTTCCCACTTGTCAGTAAGCTCTCAGGGTGGGGACAGCACCCTTCTCGTCCTCTGCTTGGCCCGGTGAGGATGCCTGCACAGCAATGGCTTGGAGAGAGAAATGAGGGAGCAAAGGGGAGCGTGGGAAGGCCGCAAAGCCAGGCCCAGGGCCCACGCTGCCGTCTGTGCGCTTCTCCCTCCCTCCCTCTGTGTACTCACCCTTCTGGCCATCCTCCCCACCCCCTTGTACCTGCCCACGGCCTCCGGGTTTCTCCTGAGACGTCCATGTGTGTCAGTGCGGACAGAGCCTTGGCAGTGGGTAGCACCACGCAGGTGTCTGGGGAGGCTGCCTCAGCCTGGGAGGTGGTGGGCAGGGGCAGCTTCACACCCAGGAGCTGCTGTGGGGCTCAGGAGGCCACATGGCCATGCTTCCTTTTCAGCCTGGTGGAAGAGCTGAAGGCCAGCAACCCAGACTTCCCGGCGGTCAGCAGTGGCATTTATGTGCAGGAGGTCTTCCCCAACTCGCCTTCACAGCGGTAGGCTCTGCTGGCACAGCAAGGCTGAGGGGAGGGAAGCTGAGAGCCTGGCGGTGGCAGGGGTGCCAGGGCCTGCACTGGGTAAGGGGCACTGGGGAGTTTGATATCCCCTAGAGCCCTGGCTGTGCTGTGCTGGGCCCCAGTGTCCTTTCCTCTGGGAAGTGAGGTTGAGGAGTCCCTGCCTGGGCTGAGAACCACCTTGAACTTTATTGTCCCCAGCCAGGGAGCAGCCTCAGTGCCCCCTGGGAAAGGGGAAGGCTGTGCCTGCTGTCTCCACCCCGAGACTCCAGGGTCAAATGAGCCAAAGCCTTACTTCCTTGGAAACATTAAGTGCTGAGGAACACTGATCCTTGCAACCCCGTTGTTTGCCACCGAACATGTGCCCGAGCTTAGCCCAGCCTCACGAGGCCATGCAAAACAACCCTGTGTCTCTCCCTTGGCAGAGGCGGCATCCAAGATGGCGACATCATTGTCAAGGTCAACGGGCGCCCCCTGGCGGACTCAAGTGAGCTTCAGGAGGCCGTCCTGACAGAGTCCCCGCTGCTGCTGGAGGTGCGGCGGGGCAACGACGACCTCCTCTTCAGCATCGCGCCTGAGGTGGTCCTGTGAGGCACCGCCTCCCCCAGCGCCAGGCGCCAGAGCCAGAGCCACAGGAGGCAGATGGAGTGACACCTCCCCAGGGTCAGGACAAAGGGCCGCTGGTTCTCATGGGGCCAGCAGCCTCCTCCCTGTGTCCAGGAGCCGAGCCCAAGACAGAGTCTGCATCTCAGCTTCACTCCCGAGTCCCAACCCAGCGAAGGAAGCCTGATGGCCCCAAGCACAGGTGCTCCAAAGGGTCTCAGGGACCTAAAAGACTCGTGTGGGTCCCTGGAGCCCACCCTGTCTCAGCGCCCTGTTCTGGCCTGGCCTCTGCTGCAGCTCCTGGCTCCCCACAAACATCATTGCTCTGAGCCCGTGCTGGCTTCTCCCAGCAGTTGCAAGTGGCAGGTGGACCCACACTGCATATGACAGGGGCTGCCCGCCCCGCCACAGCGTCCCTGAGGGCAGGCCGTGGCTGGCCCCTGGAGGAGTCCAATCTGACAGCTTGGCCTGGTGCAAGGGCCCAGTGAATGTCCTCACTGCAGAGCCATGCCCTGCACCGGCCTTGAGGTGCACCCTCCAGGGGACAGGAAGTGACGGGTGCATGCCCTGGACCTGGAGGAGCCCTCTTCTGAGGTGACCATGGGACGGCAGGACTGAGCCGGTCCCGCCTCCCACACAGCCCAGGGTGCAGCCAGTGGGCTCTCCCGAGGACCTGGCGAGCTACTCGAGGTGTACTCGTGAGTTTTGCTGTCCTGGTTCCCCGTGGCTGTACTGTATGTTTTTCTACTGTATGGAATTAAAGTTTACAAGCGCATGGTGCGCGGCGCTGGGGCGGCCTGTGCCCCACTGGCCAGTTTCTCCTGAGGGCCCCATCTGGCAAGCCTCTGCAGGTTTCCATGGTAGCAGAGCACTGTGCACACACTGGCCTCAGGGCCACCTGATCCTGCAAGGGTGGCTTCGCATCAGGCTGCTGGGGGCAGGCCTCAACTGGGCTCACGTCCAGTTCTGAGATCTTGGGCCGGTGACATCCCTATCCTGCTGAAGCCCCCGGCTACCCTGAGAGCCAGGCCTCAGAGCTCACCCTTGGGCCCTCGCTGCAGCCTGCCCCACAGTGGGGAAAACGAGGCAGAAAGGCGGAACCAGCAGGCTGTCCAGGGACCCAGCCCAGGGAGGCTGGCAGCGGGTCACCAAGTCATAAACTTGTCCACTGGGGGCACATTGTGCTAAGAAGAAAGGACCTCAGGGCCTTGCCTATTTGCGTCCCAAGCCACTGAGTCCAGAAGCACTGGGGGCCCTGCGCCCCACGAGAAGGTGCCTGTGTGATCAACTCAGGGTCAGGAGGGCCCTGGTTGGCCACGGGCACCTGGTCAACAGAGAGGGGTGCCCCGGGCTAGCAAGGAATGGAAGAGCCTGGCGAGGGTGCTCTGGCAGGCACGCTCTTGTTTCCAGGCTTGAGCCCACAGGCCCAGGGTGGGAGGGGCCGGGCGAAGGAAGCCGGCAGGATGCTGTGCTACATCTGCCCTAACCTGGCCTCAGGCAGTGCCACCTCCCCCTCCAGGGCATCTGCTGCCGGCTGTGCGCTCAGCCCCTGGCCTCGCACCCCAGTCCAGGACAGACTCCCACAGGCCCTGCGTCACTTGGACCCTGATTCGGACCCTTCCCTGTGCCTGGTGTGTGTTTTCCAGCCCCAGCTCTGCCCTGAGCCCCGGCCCGTGCACACAACCATCCCCAGGGCTGTCCCTCACTGCTGTCTCCACCCTAGATGATAGGAAGGAGCCTCGGGGACTGAGGACACCGGAAGGGCAGTTAGAGACACGAGGACCTGGCAGCAGGTGTGACGCCCACATCTCTTCAGTAACAGAGAGGGGAGTGCCCAGGCAGGGGAGGGAACATCGGAGCCAGGGTCCCTGGAGGGCACAGGCCTGGGCCTTCCGGTCCATGCAGCCCCACATAAACACCCGCTCTAGCTGGCAGGCACCTCTCTTACCTCAGTGCCGTACCGGGGGGGTGGGGGGGCGACACTGCAGCTGGCCCTGTCCTGACCTCCTGTGTACTCCAAATACACCTGCGAAATACAGCGGCTCACTTACTCCCAGCCTGGCTGCACTCCACACGCCCCTGGCCTGTCTCGTCCTGCACCAGAACCAGCACCAAGGCCCCCAGACACCCCTGAGCCTTCCCTTGCACCCCAGAGTCAGGGCAAAGCTCTGAGCCCTCACACTGACTTCAGTCACCCTGTGTCTCTCCAGCCTCAGTTTCCCCATCCGTACGATGAGCTGACACTGATTCCTCGGAGTATGGGGCTCACAGGAGGGTGGCCAATGTGTGGGCACCCACTGAAAGGCACAGGGGTGATCTGGCCTTGCTCTGACCCTAGAAGGGCACCCAAGTCCTTCTGGCCCTGCCCATCCCCACCTCACACGGCCTGTGTGTTACTACGCCCTGGCACCTGTGACCCTGGCTGGCTGCCTGTGGTGGTGGCCATGGTCTGTGCCTCTGCTGTGCACCAGGTCCGGGTTCCCTGCCCCCATCCTGGCAGCTCCAGCTGAAAAAGCAGCTGTTCCTCAAAGCAGGCAGAGGAAAACAACCCATGGGCCCCCCTCCTTCGCCCTGGGTCCCCAGAGGCAGCACAGCAAGTGCTCACAAGGTCTTCACGAGGTCACCTGCCTCAGCCCAGGGACATGTCTGGACTCCTACAAGACCTTGCAGGGCTCCAGTGCCCCCTGGGACTCGGGTAGTGGAGGCCTGCAAGGGAGGACTTGGGCTAAAGGGCCAGGCCTCAGAGAAAAGCGGCTCTGCGCCGGCGCCAACCTGCAGGCCGGTGTCCTCCTCCGAGTCCTCCCTGCCACAGCACAACCCCACGGGGTCTCTGGGCCAGTACCAGGGGAGGGGGCTAGAGGCTGGGCTGTTCCCAGCCTCTGGGGGCAGTGCCCTGAGCTCCGTACCCAAAGCCAGCAGCAGCTTCACCAGGTGCAGCCTGACCTTCCCTGTCCTTCCTGCTCTCCACTCTGCTCCCGGGGGCTGGCAGTGAAGAGGGCACCTGGGTGTGCCGCTTAGCTAGGTTGGGAGGCTGCAAGCCAGGGCCAGGGGGCCCACTGGCATGACCTCGGGGAGGCAGAGGGCGCCATGGCGGGGCCTGCACAGGAGATGGTAAGCAGGTAGCATGGCAGGAAGCCAGCAGGTGGGCCGAGGCCTGCTTCCCCTAGGTGGCCCTCAGGAGCACTGCCGCAGCCCAACCAGGCCACAGGGTCCCTTCCTGCCCACGGACCTGTGACCCAACACCCTCCAACCATGGCTGCAGCACAAGAGCCGGGAGGCCTCACACAACTCATTTCTCATGCATACCCAGTGCTGGGTCTTGGGATGAGGTGTCCCCCAAGACTGTACCAAGGGCTCCGAGACAAGGCTGGGGAGGTGCCTGGGGCACAGGGCATGGGCCTCAGCAGGGCATCCTCCAGATGGGCTCCTGGTGGCCTGGGCCATGGGGTGGAGCCGAGGAGAGGAGGCAGGTCCCCGGACAGCTCCTCCCTCACCCTGCTACCGGTGGCCAGGAGGTAAGCAGCTGCCCATTCTGTCCCCTCCATCCACTGATCTGTCACCTCCCCACTCCTCCACACATCCTCCCATGCAGCTCTGCCCTGCCCCTGGGACCTGGAGCTCCTTAGCTCTGGCTCTGACCAGGAGAGACTCTGATTTGGGGACAGTTAGGATCCATTCAGTCCTTGGCTGAACTTCCAGGAAGGCTAAATTTGGAGTCTCCTGTGAGGCCAGGGCACAGGGTGTGGTTCCCTCACTGAGCCAGGCAGCTGGCCTGCTCGTCCTCCACACCCAGGAGAGGGTGTGAGCAGCGGCTCCCGGGGTTCTTCTCGTGACTGGGGTCCTGAGCAGGCCAGGTAGGGTAGGGCCAGCTCACACGAGGTGCTCACAGACGGTCACTGCTGCTGCTGCATGGGGACAAGAGAGGGGCACAGCTGAGGACCCCAGAGCAAGCAGACAGGGCATGGGTCCCAGAGAAGCTCAGGGTGGGACAGCTGGACTGCCCCTCCGCACATGCTGTCAAAGCAAGTGAGGGCCGCCCTCTCCTAGAAGGAGCATTTTTTTTTTTTCCAGTTTTTGTAGTTTGGGGTTTTGCAAGGGGAGCAATGCAGGACACATAACTTACAAAATTATTTTATAATCATCGCCCAGAGAGTCCTAGCCAAGAGGGGGCAGGAAATCTGTCCACACACTGAAGACCAAAGGATCCAGCTGAGGGCCCGGGTCCTATGGTCATGTCCTGCGTGAGTCCAGCTGAAGACCTGGAGCCCCTAACAATGCCCCCACAAGTCCACCTGGAGGCCAGGAGCCCACAGCAATGTCTCACGCAGGCCTGTTTCACAGATCTGTGCTAGGACGACACAAGATCAGTGGTGGAAGCTAGAAAGTCCGAGCCAGCAGGCTGAAAGATCTGGGCTAGCAGGCTGAGGGATCAACGCTGGAGCCAGGACGTGACGCTCAATATAAGGGCCAGCGCTGCCCTGAAAGGTACCACAGCCACTCTCAGAGATGAGGTCCTGAGCCCCGCTGATCCTGAGAACAGCTGAGTCTGTATTAGAAAAGCCAGCATAACAAGCTTCTCCAGGAGACTGAACAGTACATCACCTTCCTCTCCAGAGCCAGGAAGGGGTGCTCAATGTAAGGACCAGCGCCGCCCTGAAAGGCACCACCCTCAGCCACAAGGTCCCAAGCTCCTTTGATGATGAGCACAGCTGAGTTCACCAGAAAAGCCAGCAGGACAAGCTCTCTAAGAGGAACCAACAGCTCCCTACAGCTTCTAACTTCTTTCTCTTCAGTTCTGTCTCTTATGCTGCTGGCTACAATCCTCAGGTGGCCTGCCACACCCAGCCCCACGCTGGTTCAGTTAGTTGGGTGGTACAAGTTGACCACCAGTTATTAAGCCCCCACAGCAGTGCTGGGAATTGAACCCAGAACAATCACTTAAGCTAAATCCCCTGCGTTTATTTTATCTTGTATATTGAACAGGATCTTGCTAAATTGCTCAGGCTGGAACTCGTGAGCCTCCTGCCCAGCCTCCTAGAGCTCTGGGATTGCAGGTGTGCACCACACCTGGCCACTAGTTCTCTCCCCCCACCCATAATTTTATGGATAAACAAATAGCAATGAGATAGTGTCAAACCAAATTGGTAGGACAGTTTCAATAATTAACACATTGCATACATTCTTCCTAGTGGTTAATTGCTGTACAAGATGCGGACATGATATCCTATCTACAAACACCATTAGAACAAATCCCTCTATTCATTAAGAGAATGTAACTATATCTATCCTAACCACTTTGAATACACAGATACAGAATGAACATTCACCTGTATCCCCTTTTCACCAGCTCTTCTTCTGAGTCTGTTTGTCCTTTTATGATTCTAAAAGCATGCAGCTACTTTCCTTATGATGCCACCTACCATCAAACGTTGTACACGCTACGGACCTTGAGCGCGGAGGGCCCTGAACCCGGCGTTCCCCACCCCGGCCCGCTTCCCTCTGACTCAGGAGTTGGTAGTGATTTGTGCATTTTTAAAAACTTGTAAGTAAATGGAGGGAGAGGAGAAGGAAGGAGAGGAGGAGGGAGGATAGCTGGAGAGGTGGCCGGAGAGAGGAGAGGACAGAGCAGCCACAGAACCCGGCCATGACCCACCTTTCCTGCTGCCACGCGGCCCTCCACGCCTCCCTGCTGTCCCCCAGCACTGGGCAGCAATCCCTCCCGCTCCAGTCACCTCTGCTCCCAGCTCTGACAGCATGGCTGCCCTGATGCAGGTCCAGCCCAGCCCAGCCGG